GGTTCTCGCGTCGTCTCCGTCAGCGGTGGTCTAGCTCAGGGAAGTGCGTTAAGCCCAATTCTTTTTAATGCATACACAATTTCATTACATGCTATTCAGTCTGATAATTGCATTTTATTCCAATACGCAGATGATTTCTTTCTGTTGGTTTACCATAGGGACTTTGAATCCGCCAGATGCATTTTGGATTCGAAGATTGATGAATTCGCTGCTCGGTGCGGGGAGATTAACCTTCGCTTTAATATTAGTAAAACGTCTGCAGTCCATTTTAATAGGAGAGTTCGAAACCTGAATCTGGTTCAGAACGGAGTTGGTATTGAGCAGGTAAACAAAATTAAGTACTTAGGCTACTTTGTGGCATCCAATAACTCCGCAAAGGAACATGTTCAAAATGTCCTTTCAGAGGTAGAAAAGAAAAACAGGTATTTAAATATCTTAGGTGGTTGTAACAGGGGCATAGATCCACGTAAATCCCTGCGCCTTTACAGGGCATGTGTTAGGTCCAAGTTAGAATATGCATCTGCGGCCCTTGCCAATGCTGACAAAGGTTCCGTTAATAAAATTAAGACCTGATCAACAACTGTTTGAGAAAATCTCTTGGCTTAATAAGATCAACGCCGGTCCCATGTCTCTACCACTTGTCGGCAGAGCTACCTCCAAATTATAGATTTTGTCTCACGGCAGCAAAAGAATTGGTGAAGTCCTATGCATATAAGCGACCTATTGTAAATACCCTCGGGAATCTGTCCCACCCTATTAACACTGGCATTTATAGAGTACACACAAAATTCAAAGATATTCTCCAAAAAGTCGGGAAAACTTCCCCATTAGGAACGGGTACCCGGATTATAGTGGTTGATGACGTGTTTTTCAAGGGAATAGTTACAAAGAAAGCTGACGCGGATTCTTTGATAATTGGGCAATTATATAATGAAAAAATAAATCAGTTAAAAAACAAAGGTTTTGAAATTTTCTTCACAGATGGTTCCGTTTTTTCCGACTTCTCTGGCTCGGCCTTTATTCATGAAGGCCCTGGTATTGTGTTCTCGTATTTCGGGGACCTGGCATTGTCCTCAATGTCGGCCGAACTTATAGCAATAGTCAAAGCACTTGAATATGCAGCTAACAATCAAATTCGAAAATTAGCCATTCTTTGTGACTGTCTTAGTGGTCTTGTAGCAATAAAAAACAATCAGAGGGGAAATTATCTTGTTGACAGAATTAATTGGCTAGCTTCGGACACTTTGAGGAGATTGAATTGCATCATATCCCGGGGCACTGTAGTATCCCACTTAATGAAACAGTTGATCAAGCCGCAAGAATGGCGAGAGAGATTGGCTCGCAGATTGAGACACCCTTGACTATCTCTGACGCAATTAACCATATAACTCACGACCTGTGGATAGAATGGGCAAATGAGTATAAAGAAAGAGGATTGTCCGGCTCCTCCCATTACTTCACAATCTTCCCTGAAGTCACCAAACGACCATGGTTCCACAATACCACATCTACCCCTTTGGATACAAAAACACTCAACAGAGTTGTCACAAACCACGCCTTTTGCAATGCCACCTTGGAAAGAATGAAAGCAGTTCCTTCTGCCCTCTGTGAAACTTGTTGCACTGAGGAAAATGTCGACCATATCCTATTTCAGTGCCATCGCTTCTCGTCGGAAAGAAATTCTAATCACTATATGCGGAGCTCAAGATCCACTGTGGATTTCATCAACAAACATGGGATTAAAAATCTTCCTGCCATTGCTGAATTTTTGCACAAGATCAAATTTAACTTGTAAACACCTGCTCTAAACATTAACGACCTAGCGGAACCCTCCCGATTGCTTGTTGTGGCGTTATCTGGAAATTGGCCAAGTTTCAACTTTCTAAAACCAAAAAAAAAAAAAAATCCCAGCTGATTTGATTCCAACGTAAAACTAGCGTCAATATGAATTTGACAAATTATGTTTTTAAAAATCACCCAACAGGAAAATTGGGAACGCATACAATTTGAAATTGTTCTTTATTAAATATGCTCCCGTATTGAATTTACTCAATCTGCCTGCTGGGAAAGTTTCAGGAAGCAAATCTTTCTTCAAGGAATAACTCGCGATTCCCGGCATTTTCATATGTGTTACACATATATGTGGCAATGGCTCAATTATAGGAAAGATGTGGAAGCGATAGAAATATAACTTTGAAAGATTTTCATTCATGTTTTTCAATTTTTATTTTGAGGATTCGAAAATATTTCATTTTCAAAATAAAAATAATTTGATGATAATTTGTTTGTTTGTTTGTTTACATTTTTCTGTCAAATGAGTTGACACTAGTAGAACTTACAACAACAAATTTCCATGTGGTTGTTGTATCGTTTTTTGTACAACAACACTTGCTGTTACCTTCTATTATTATACCATGATTTGTCCTGTTCCTGAATATAAATTTTAAAAACGAGAACAAACCAATTATTTTCAATAGTTGCAGCACGCAAAAACAACAAAAATAATAATTACATGCTTCTCGTTTTGAGGGTTTCACAAATCCTATGAATCTTCAGAACAATGTGTAGCGTTAGAAAAAATGTATTTTTTTAATTTGTTGAAAATATGCCAATCGACATACATAAAATGTTATGGTTCCCTTAATACATCAAAGTGCAATATTTCACGACTGGTGGATGGATTAATAATAAGATGCGAATTATCCATATTTGTGCCAAAAAATTTTATAAAATATTAAAATTAGAAATAATTTTTATATACTATTGGAAAATATAATTTTTTGAAGATCAGCTGTGATTTCAAATAATTTTTTTCCTTAAAATTTTAACATTCGCAACAAAAGTTCCTGAGTATATGTTTGTGAAAAAATAAAGGAACACGTCAATTAATATTTCTCTTGTTTGGCAACAGTACAAATCATTATGCAGTAATAATGTGATGTATCACAACAACAAACTTTGGTTTTGTCTCGACCATCTGTCAAATTCTTCCGTATAATATTTCACATGGCTGACAACATTGCACATCGAATTCAAGTAGGAATTACGCACTTTGACAGTTAATCGAGACATCAGCTGCGCTAAATGGAATACCTATTTATTGTGCCATGGTACAAGTCGTATACAAATTGAAACTATGTATTCTGGACTATTTATTGTGACACGTATAGAATTCCGTATAATATAGTTCCGTTCCACAACCTAAAAATAATCTACAAATTTTAAAAGTTGTGCAACTTTTTATTCGTAAACCGTTCCGTTTCCCGCAAAACTGGTACAACATTGAACCAAACAACTTTTTCTCGTAAAATTTGTCCGAGTAAAAATGGTAAACAGTATTTGATGTATTGCCATCTAATTTTGGCATATTTACTAAATTTGCGTTCCCAAACAAAAACACATTTGAAAGAACGATGTTTTTATTTAAATTTTGAAAGCTGAATGTTGTCAAAAGTTAATTTATGAAAAAATGGAATCATATGACTACATGAGACTGCCGTGTATAATTATTGGTCTATTCCCGTACTGCAAGAACCTGCTAGTTTTTACTATTTTTTCTGATATCATAAAGAAAAAGTTGTTATCGTACTAAAAAACAGTACATTCTTGCAGTATGTCATGGGTCTTTTCCTTTGTACTGCAAGAATCTATTACTTTTTACTACGATAACGAACTTTCGTTTACGATATCGAAGAAAATTGTAAAAATCTAGTAGTTTCATGCAGTACGGGAAGAGGGAAATGAACTGTCATACAAAACTGATAGTGTGTACTCTCCCAAATAATAACTTTTTACAAACTTCGCAATATGTTATCATTTCCAGGTTATTTCCCTGTGGTGTCATCGGACACAATCGATAAATTTGCTATCTATTTCAATTATCGAAAATATCGATTGGATATTGACGACCGACTCAGTTACTGCTATCATTTAATAGTGAAAATCAAGAAACCTATGGATATATAGTAAAAAATATTTTAACGCACATTAAGAGTCATGAAAATATTTAAGTTTATTATAAACGCTAATGAGTGAAATGGACGGGCACTTGGTACAAATTTCGAAGCATCAGTCAAATATGACGGCATCAGATTTTATTCTACTTTGAATCCGCGACGAAAAAGTACGGCAATTTTTTTCTTTTTAGTTTATATATGTACACAAAATTTACGCTTGTACAATACCGTATACCTATGTACACTCCACGTATATATAAATACATATATATATTTACTATATATACCTATGTACACACAGTTATACAGTTATACATATATTGGCGAACGATAACAATGCGTAGCATCATCTTAATGGGCGTGATTTGTTGTAGAATCCTGTCGGCTGTCGGTCGGTCGGTGTAGCACTTTTTAATTTAACCCTTACAGACAGTTCACGTGTCTCGAAAATATCAGGGAATATAATAAAAAGAAAAAAATGCAAAAAGACCACAAGTATATTCTGATTTGAGGCAATAAAGTCGAATTGTGTTCATTCATTTTATGTATAAACACATACGTGTATGTACCTGACCACGAGTGTTTACATTTTTGATTCTGATCGTTGGTTGGTGTTAGTGGGTGCAATACTTGACGGGACATTCATAAAATTTTGTGTGAATATCTTTTGCGAGATGAGCGAATAAAAAAACTAGTGTATTCTCTTTTGGAGGCCGGGAGCGAGCAACTTAAGTATCCCGGAATGAAAAATGTTTTATTTAATTTTTTTGGATGTAAAGGCAAACATATATACATATGTATAACTACAAAAATGAGAATTTGTTGTTTAAAACGCCTTAAGAACTAGTTGAAATTGTAAACCGGTAAACGCAAAAAAACTGACTTTCACAGTTGATAAATAGTCAAATATATTTCTAATTTTTATAGTATTTGTATGTAATATGAGTAATGTTTAATCTATAAATAAAAAGAAATTAGATATCGTAACGTAGAGTAATAGGTATTTTTTTCCCATAGACCAGTGGTGAATGCGAACGACTAATAATGGATTCTACAGTAAAAAGTAAAGAAAATACTAATAACGCATCGGCAACAGTTTCTGTTATAGCTGGAATTTGCAGCAGCGACAGTTTTTCAATGTTTCCACCACATCACCATGATTTGACCAGTACTAACAGCATTGAATTGAACGCTGCGGCCTCTCTCAGCGATGATTCTGGCGTGCCCCTCACTACCAACAGTTCTATATCTAGCGGTGATTCCTACCGGCTGGGTCTATGCAAGTTCGACATTGAGGTATTGAGGGTGGCTTTTTTATATCACACAACACAGCTTATAACATGTTGTTCCCTCTTTGTAGATTGTTGAAAGTGATGGAGAGGTGTCCCAGTTTGATTCGCTGGATAATTGCTCAGAAGGTGGAATGAGTGCCGAAAACTTTAACACTCTGAAGAAGGGACCGTTGGCTCCCATTGATCCTCCGCCCGAATTTCAAGACTCGCCGCAAACAACGCTGGTACGGTCAATGACAAAGAATCCTGTAACTAGTTTAAGACGTTGGACTTCTTCACAATCATCATTCGAACATTTGAAAGACCACAGTAGCGCCGATACAACCAACTTGAGTATAGTCACGATTGGAAACGTTAATGTTTGCGATGAAAACACTTTGATCAGCGCTAACTATATGTTGAGTGATGAAATACCAGAAAAGGAAATTTACAATATGAACAAACATCTATACTCAAGCGATTCCATACTAAATTCTCACATGGACAATATATATGATGAACCAAACAACATGTTGAGCTCTTCGCTGGGCAACAGTGTTGATATATTAGATTCCGATTCACCATCACAGTCCATTCCACCTCCCCCGCCGCCTGTTTCGATTGTTAAAATAAAGCAAACATTATGTCCTTACTTTCAAGATCACACACGTTATTTTAAAGCCATACCGTCTGAACAGGACAATATTACATCTGCAGTACAGCGATTTAATGTTTCAGGGCTATCTGAAATACATGATTATGATCTCTACTATGGTATTAAACGTAATGGATGTCAACAGTACGATAACAGTTTACAACGAAAAATAATATACAGTCCGTTGAATAATTCTCATTATTGTCATAATCACATTTATCATGGAGGTAAGAAATTCTTTTTAATATTGCAGAAAAAATATTTGAATCCATAGTATAATTAGCCTGTTTCCGTAACGAAAGAATCTACTAATTTGTACTATTTTTTCGATATCATGCATTGTACAATTATAAAAGGTAACAGCAAATCCCAGCTGATTTGATTCCAACGTAATACTAGTGTCAATATGAATTTGACAAATTATGTTTTTAAAAATCACCCAACAGGAAAATTGGGAACGCATACAATTTGAAATTGTTCTTTATTAAATGTGCTCCGTATTCAATTTACTCAATCTGACTGCTGGGAAAGTTTGAGGAAGCAAATCTTTCTTCAAGGAATAACTCGCTATTCCCAGCATTTTCATATGTGTTACACATATATATGGCAATGGCTCAATTATAGGAAAGATGTGGAAGCGATAGAAATATAAATTTGATAGATTTTCATTCATGTTTTTCAATTTTTATTTTGAGGATTCGAAAATATTTCATTTTCAAAATAAAAATAATTTAATGATAATTTGTTTGTTTGTTTACATTTTTCTGTCAAATGAGTTGACACTAGTAGAACTTACAATAACAAATTTCCATGTGGTTGTTGTATCATTTTTTGTACAACAACACTTGCTGTTACCTTCTATTATTATACCATGGATATCATGAAAGAAAACATTTTTATCGCAATAAAATATAGCGCAGTACAAAGTATACAATGAAAGGAAAAGATATATTTTTTAAACGAATTTGTAAAAAAAAATAACTCCGGCGAAAATAGGGAACATTTTGATGGAATTTTTTTCTGCACAATAAAAATTAGGAATAAAATTAAAAACAAAGTAAAAAATAGAGCGGGAGCGTCACCTTTGGTTTAGTCCACTGTCTACAAAATTATTCATGTTAGCATTAATTTTAACGCCTACTATGAAAACATGACCGTTATTTCAAAATGCTCATAATAATTGGGCAGAAATATTTCGATAAAATAAAAGGGGATCGATCGTCCATTCCAACGTTGAGGACAATGCAAAATCACTCATTGTTGATGATAAGTTATTTGTTACAGAAATCCATTCTTATTCGAAAACGAGTGACTACAATTCATTAGAAGAGACTTTCGATCGTCTTAGTGAAACAGGCTGTTATATATATATATGGGAACTGTGGTAAAATTTTTTTCATCAGCCCTCGATTAGTTTGAAGTATTTATTAAAAAATTATTTAAAAATACTTAGATATACTGCACTTAAGAGATTTTGTGTGAAAATAAAAAATTATTATTTACTTAACCCTTTGAGCCCCGATTTTTTTTCCGTTATCATAGACCAATTTTCTGTTCACAGATTTAATGCAACTATCCTAGATAGGAAATGGACAACATTTTACATCGCTACATCCTTGCATTTGGGAAATACAGTACATTCTGAACAATAAAAGCCCAATATGAACAAAACCAAATGAAAAAATAATTTTTAATTATTCTCTATATTCTGTCATGGTATAATAATAAAAGGTAACAGCAAGTGTTGTTGTACAAAAAACGATACAACAACCACATGGAAATTTGTTGTTGTAAGTTCTTTTAGTGTCAACTCATTTGATAGAAAAATGTAAGCAAACAAACAAATTATCATCAAATTATTTTTATTTTGAAAATGAAATATTTTCGAATCCTCAAAATAAAAATTGAAAAACATGAATGAAAATCTATCAAATTTTTATTTCTATCGCCTCCACATCTTTCCTTTAATCGAGCCATTGCCATATATATGTGCAACACATATGAAAATGCTGGAAATAGCGAGTTATTCCTTCAAGAAAGATTTGCTTCCTCAAACTTTCCCAGCAGGCAGATTGAGTAAATTGAATACGGGAGCACACTAAGAAAGAACAATTTCAAATTGTATGCGTTCCCAATTTTCCTGTTGGGTGATTTTTAAAAACATAATTTGTCAAATTCATGTTGACGCTAGTATTACGTTGGAATCAAATCAGCTGGGATTTGCTGCTACCTTTTATAATTGTACCATGATATTCTGTATTACAATAATCAAAAATAATTCTCATGACAGAATTCGTACATTTCGAATACGAATCAATTTAAATAATTTGGACTGTATACACAAATTGGTACTGTACACATTTTGCCCTCATCTCTACATTGAAAAGCTCATAACTTTACAAAAAATTAGAATTTTTTAGATTTTTCTTTTGATACATGTCGTCCATAATCAGGTCTTGGCGAAATCCAAAGAATATATATCTACTAGCTTAATATTAAATATAAGCTTTAAAACATTTTGTTGCCTGTGGGCAACTTTTGTCCACAAAGGGTTAAGTGCAATTTTTTGAAAATGTTTTTAAGAAACGCCATAAGTTTGCTAAATTAAGTAAACTGAGCACCGATAAAATTGTTCACAGATAACCAATTACAAAAATACGGATTTTTAATTTTTAAGAAAACAGAACTTTGAAAACTTCAGCCAAAAGAGAGATGCTCACAATTTATCGCACATCCATGGTTCTTGATGGGCCGCATTGAAATAAGTATAGATCGATGTATTTTTTTAGGATGCACACCGAAATCGGATGCGCGTTGAAGGCATATGGAATTTCCGGAAATAATTCGCGTCTTAGGAGTTTTTTATATTTTTTTATCGTTTACTATATCTTAGCCGTGAAATGAAATTTGGCAAAATATACATGGATTGCAAGACAAACTTCAGTACAGTACATATCGGATATAAGATACTCAAAAAGTCAGAGATTTCATTCTTATATGCGTTTTTTCTCCTTATATGGAATTATCAGATTTAAGAAGGTAGTTTCTTATAAGAGTACATACGCACATAAGAAACCTATTTCTTATACGAATATATTTTCTTATAGTAAAATGTTTAAATGAAAAGCATGTTTTAAAGAACAAACAATTCAGTATATAAAATACAAAGTTACGAAATTACAACGTTACCTATAATCCGACGGGGCGTACAAAAATATTCAACTTCCCCCCTATGGCAAAATTTTGTGTACGGCCGTATTACCGAAATACGTCGAATCCATATCTTCAAGAGAATAATATAAATATTACAACAAAATTGAAAAATTATAATATTTACCCAAATATTTTATATTCTAATTCAAAAAGTCATATTTTCGTTATGTTTTGCTCTTATTTTCAACAAACGAAAAAACAAAAAATACGTTCTGTCATAGTTGAATTTGTTCAACTTTGAAAATTCGTACGTCGACGTATTTCGGTAGCTTTCATATAAATACATGTGTTCTACTTTTGTGGTGAAAAACGTCCAACGAGCTAGTTGAATTTTATGTAGGGCTGTTAAATTACAGTTTGGCAAGAAAAAATTCAGTTTCTTAAAAACTAAAAATTTAAATAAACAAAAATAACAAAATTAAAATCAGTTCATAGTTTGACTAACAATATTTAAATATATTCAATGTGGCCAACAATCGTAAATATTTTCTTATATGAAACGTTTTCAAATACCTTTGTCAACTTTGGTGTTTGACAAACATTTTTTATATCAGTGTTTTTCTTATTCGCGTTTTTCTTATATGAAGCAATTTTTACACTGAAAAAAAGGCCCGGTGTTTCTGATAATCTTTCTTATATCCGATCTTTTCTTATATGAGCTGTGCTTATATTAGTCATATTCTATCTACTGTACTTCATGGAAAACGCATCTGCATCAAATGATTTTGAGAGTTATACGATTTAGATGCAAAATTAAAATGTATATTTCACAATATAGTTTTAGTTTCGGATTATTTCATATTTATAGAACCACACGAATACAAAATAGAAGTGAAAATTATACTATATCACGTTAACATCATATGATATAGGGGAGCGGGGGCACCTTCGAATTTTTCATATTATAATTTTTGGTTTCTTATGTTCAAATATATATGTTTTATTCATACATATAAGAAATCCATTTATTTATTAAAAAAAATATATAAAAAATGTTCGAAAATTAAAAAATTCAGATCAAAATTTATTAAAACATAAAATGACATAAAAACAAAAAAATTTATATGGTGTTTTCATAGTTAATTTCGTAGTCTTATTTGCCCACTTGAAATTTTGAGAAATCGAAGCCAAAAGTTAAAAACTCTGTTTTTACTAGAGTGCCTGTGGCATTTTGGGTTTTTGTGTAGGAAATATATATGAAAGAAAATACATTAATTATGTTTAAAATGATTGTTGGAATGCAACAAATTTGTTAAACGAATGAAAACTATCACGGATTCTTCCTGCGCCCTTACAACCAAAAAATTTATAGTTTACAATGGCACTGCGAAAACATGGCCACACATGTAAATTTTGTCGACAACTGAAAAAGCTACCCAAAAAGGTTTACGCAGATAAAGTTCAAGATTGGCATATAAAAAAATTGGTTGCGGATCAAAAAAATTTTAAACTGAAATTTTAAGAGCCAAGGAGTTATAAAAAAAGAGTCGTGTGGTTCAATAAATATGAAATGATCCGAAACTAAAACTATATTGTGAAATACAGTCGAATTCGGTTAAGCGATAACTCCTAATTTCAGAAAACTTTTTTTCTTAAGCAGGATTTTCAATTAAAAGAACTTCGTTGCGCTTAAACGAAATTTTCAATCAATATCTAAAAAAAATCGTGAAATTTATAAATCATATTATAAAATGTATTGATTAAGAACTTCTTTTTTCGTAGACATTTGCTTGGATGGTTGAAAAAATGTGCAATGGGTTGCACATAAAAATTGTAATGAATTTCGACGCCCTTTCAAAAATGATATTTTTCTCTTAAACGGTGCTAGATTTATACAGATTTTCAATTAACCGGTTTTTCTTTTAAGCGAAGTAAAGTGTTTGAAAATTCACCCGAAATATTAGTTTAAAATGTTTAGTTTCAATTAACAGATTTTTTCGATAAATCGGCGTTCGCTTATCTGAATTCGACTGTATACATTTTAAATTGCATCTAAATCGTGTAGCATGTTAATTGTAAAATTTCAATTTAATCGGATAAAAAAAAAACAAAAATTTGGCAATAGAAAAACAAATGGGTTTACTACAATTGCATCACATACTACTCTATATGAATTGTTATGATATTTTCAAAGTTTCAAAATTTTGGTAAAGTTATGAGCTTTTTAATATAGAGAAGAGGGTAAATTTGTGAACAGTACTAATTTGTGTATACAGTCCAAATTATTTAAATCGCTTCCTATTCAAATCTGCCATCAGAATTATTTTTGAGTCTCTTATTTTTCCGAAAGAACGTACTTGTATCTCTCGACTGCAAGGATGTAGCGATGTCAAATTTTGTACATATTCTATTTAGGATAGCTGCATTAAATCTGTGAACAGAAATTTTTCTAAGATTGAGGAAAAAATCGGGGCTCAAAGGGTTGAAAGATATGTTGTTGATTACCTTACTGTGGATATGTTTAACAACATTCAGTATATTCAATTTAAAAGAATGATATATTAAACGTCGTATTTCAATTAATTTCACACGAAGAATTTGAAATGAAAAAATAGTCTGATTTGTAATTTTCTTCGCACATTCGCAAGATATCATTTATTTAAAACATATTTACATCATCAAATCTTAAATATAATATGTATGTATCTTATTAAACAATATTTCCTATAGGTCTGTGCAGCAATCGACCCAACTCTAGAAATTCATTAAATAGCAGACTTTCTAGTTCACACAACTCATTGAGTGTTTCATCAGCAAATAAGCCAGATGATTCCATATTTATAACGCAGGCTATGTCACACGACGCTTTACTAACAAGAGAAATATCCGATTTCTACAACGTTCCAATTGATTCGGACATCTATGCTTTACCGGTGGATATGATCAAGTCGGAAAAGGAAAGATCGCAACATCTGCATAGGCACAGTTCCCACAACACTGGTGAAGCAAATGGCCCGGAATGCAAAGATGTCAACATATCCAGCAGTTGCAGTAAACATGCGTTTATGAAATGTCAACATCAATCAAAATCTAACCGCAAACACAAAAATAAGCGTAAGAAACGTTCCACTTCGAATTGCCCCGATAATGGCGAAAACAGCGATCGGGCTCCGAGTCATATTTCAACTAGCACGTCTTCGAGATATAATTCAACTTTTGTCTCTACCTCGAGTATACAGGATGATGGCAGTGCCAATAATACAGAGCCCCTACACATGTCTCTGGAAGAGGTGAAACAATTCTATCATACGCTCTACTCAGAAACCAAAGATAACAAGTCGGACAGCGGAGCAGCATCCGGCGGACCCCAATTACATTCTAAGGCGAATATTTCCAATTCCACCTCTAAAGTTTCCAACGATCCTGCTTGGAGTGGGTCTCGTGGTAGCAACCTAACGTTGGCGCAAAGTCGTATTGAAAAATCTCATGGTTCGAATGTTAAAAACAGTCTCATTACACAGAAAAACTTTTCATCCGATTCCGAGACCCATGCCAATAACAACAATAACATTGTGATTGCAATCAATAACCAAAACAACCAAAAACAGAATATTTCTCACCAATCGCACATCAACGCATCCACTGAAAAGGAACAAACTACTGAAACTACACAATCAATTCTCAAGTCTAGCGTAATATCTTCCAACGAAAAAAAGTCTCAGTTTACCTTGAATTTAAAGCAGCGGTTTTGTAGCATTTTCCGTTTTCGAAAAAACAGTAGTAGATATAGTCATAAAAGCGACGTCAATGAACATGACGATCACACAGCAACCAATGAAAAGGTTAGTGCATCGAAATCAAATGAAGACAAGCGTAAAAAGTTTCAATCGAGAGCTCTTCCACCCTTGCCTAAGAAAGGTAACGAAGACAACACTAATATCTGTTCTGTTTGCTTACTAATAGGTTAGGTTAGGTTTGGGATGTACGGCTGTTGTAACAACCGTCCACTCGGAGACTATGTCCATTGTGATCATCCATTATGTATAGGTGTACCTATAAAGAGAGAGAAGAAAAGATAGTGGAAGAGTAGAGAGAGAGGTACCTATAAAGAGAGAGAAGAAAAGATAGTGGAAGAGTAGAGAGAGAGGTAGTCAGAATAGGAGGGAGCGGAAGCGGAAGAGACATTATTTTAGCCAAGTCAATTTTTTGACAAAGCCTAGAATTAGGTTAGGGTCTATTTTGGAGAAGAAGACTAGATTATCAATTTCATAACATCCAAACTGTTTATGTCTTCTGCTGATCAGCGATGGACATTTGCAAAGGATGTGCTCAATTGTTTCCACTTCTTCTTCATCCTCACATAGACGACAGTAATCCTCTCCACTGGAGTCCCACTTAGAAGTGAGAGATCTAACTTTGCAGTGACCAGTAATGATCCCCACAACGATCTTAATCTCCCTCTTGTTGTGATCCAGCAGCGAAGACGTTCTTTTATGAGAGAATTCTGGCCAGATAGATTTAGAGATTCTGCATGCAGGTTCCCTTAGCCATCTGTTGCCGACTACCTCGCAATAGAACGCACGGATTCTGCCAATGAAATAGCTAATAGGGGGTTTCACAGATCTCTCAATCAGAAGACTGGACGACTGTGACCCCCCTCGAGCAAGCTCGTCGGCTATCTCATTCCCTTCAATATCGTTATGTCCTGGAACCCAGCATAACCCAACTATTTGACGTATATCATTCAGAGCGGTCTTACAATCATGAACTGCTTTCGAGTTTATAGTATGCGACTTCACCGCTTTCAGGGCCGCCTGACTATCTACGTAAATAGTCACCGGTCCTGTAAAGTCTGTATTAAGTGCTTTTACTATCTCGGCCGCTTTCGTGATTGCAAGAATCTCTGCTTGAAAAACGCTACAATCATTGTTGAGTTTATATGAGTTTCGTATACCTAATTCCCTGCAGTAGACGCCTGCGCCAGTGCCTTCTTCCATCTTGGACCCGTCTGTGAAGATTGACAGACCTGGCAGAGGTAGGGAGCCACTAGTCCAGGATTCCCTGTTAGGAAATTCGACTTTAATGTCATTAAAATCCCTGTGGGGGGGAATATAATCACTGATATGACTATCCCCCCTAAAAAGGTCATAACTTGGCGTTATGTTTAGAATGCTGGCATGACCATAGTTCCGCGATTTCAAGGCATCTGTTTCCCGGAGTCTCAGGGCACACCTAGCAGCCTGGAATTTGATCAGAATGTCCAATGGTTGGAGATTCAAGATTGCGTTCAAGGCTGCTTGTGGTGTGCTTCTTAATGCTCCAGTGATCAGAATTGAAGCCGATCGCTGTACTAAGCTCAGTCTTGTCAGCAGCTTCTTTTTATTCACCCCCTGCCACCAGACAAGACATCCATAGGTAAGTATGGGTAAGACAATCGTCGTATACAGCCAGTGTATAATTCCGGGTCTCAATCCCCAACTCTTGCCTATGGAGTTCTTGCATGAATAGAGTGCCATCAATCCCTTCTTAGAGCGTTCCTCGACATTCCTATTCCACAGTAACTTGCGGTCTAGGACAGTGCCAAGATATTTAGCTTCATCAGAGAGAGTTAATGTCACTCCACCAAGTGATGGCAGACGGAAACTAGGAACTTTGTATTTCCTAGTGAAGAGTACCAGTTCGGTTTTTGTGGGGTTTACACCAAGACCTTTGGTGCAAGCCCAATTTGACAGGGTTGAAAGAGCACCCTCCAGGATGTCTGATATTGTCGTAATAAACTTACCCCCAACCAACAAGACTACATCATCGGCATAGGCTACAACCTTTATCCTGAGATGATTGAATTTCATAAGTATCTCATTTATCACCAGAAGCCACAAAAGGGGGGAAAGAACTCCACCCTGAGGTGTGCCTCTGTTGACAGATTTCCTCACGGAACTCTCTCCTAGGGATGAGTTGATAATTCTGCTTTCCAGCATTCTATCAATCCATTCCGTAAGGAGTGAGGGGATACCTATGTCTACGAGAGCAGAATGGATTGCCTCTAGCTTCACATTGTTGAAAGCTCCTTCGATGTCGAGGAATGCTGCCAACGTGTAGCCAGAGGACTCCATATTCTTCTCGATGTATCCAACCACCTCATGCAGAGCTGTATCCACTGATCTGCCCTTGATATAGGCATGTTGGGATTTACTAAGTTTATTACGGTCAATGGTATCTCTAATTTCTGAGTCTAGTAACCTTTCTAAAGTTTTTAGTAGAAAGGAAGAAAGACTAATCGGTCTATAGTCTTTAGGTACCGTATGACTCGGCTTCCCGGCTTTCGGGATGAAGGTCACGGTAACCTCTTTCCATAGACTGGGTATGTACGACAAAAGTAAACAAGCCCTAAAAATGTCCTGCAGATATGATATTATCCGTTCATCTGCGTGTTGCAGCATGGCCGGTGTTATACCATCTGGACCAGGAGATTTGTAGGGTTGAAAACTATTTATCGCCCATATCAGTTTTGGGTATCTTATAGTGTCTTCTATCATCTTCTCCTCTTTTAAACTGTAAGGCTGTCCGAACTGTAGATTCATAGTGTACCGGAAGTGGACTCATATTTAATTTACATTTGAATACTCAGGCCTATGGATACTAGCCATAAAATGTACCTTGTGAAAAGGACCTCTGAATTTCTTATAATATTATTTATTCATAGAATAAATTCGAAGGCAATTTCACAAAGGGTATAATACCGGCCATGATCCAATACACGCAGATGAACGATAATATCGTTATCTGCAGTGGACATGTTTTAGGGCGATGGTAATTAAGTAAAACAAATTAATTTCTCGCATATAAAATTGTAGCTTCCCCCCTATAAAAGTTTGTGGCAAGATATGACCCATGTCAAACTTTTTTGAAAGGTTACTGAGCTCAGAAATTGTAGATACCGTGATAAACTTGAAATCAAATCATATATCAAGGGCAGATCGGATAATGAGGCAATACACCAACTTTTGTAAATGGTTGGTTACATAAAGATGGAAAACTCTGGCTAAACGTTGGCAGCATTCCAGATTCCTATCGAAGGAGCTAGGAATTCAACAATGTAAAGCTAAGGCAATCCATTCTGCTCTCGTATTTAGGATGTTGAATAGCTGTGAAAATTTGTCAGTTCCTCACTCCTTACGGAATGGATTATAAAATGCTGGAAACAAAATTATCATACTCATCAATTTTCTTGGGTCGTGAGGAAATGCAAAACAGGAAGGCACACCTCAGGGTGGAGTTCTTTTCCCCCTTTTGTGGCTTCAGTGTGTGATAAATAATTACCCAAAACTTATGAAATTCAATCATACTTTTGCTCAGACATTCTCTATGTTAAAAAGGCTCATAGTCATTTACAAGACTATAGACCGATTAGTTTCTTCTTTCTACTAAAAACTTTAGAAAGGTTACTAGACTCAGATTTATTACCGACAATATCAACATCCTCAAGGGCAAATCAGTGGATACCCTGTCAAATTGGGCTTGCACCAAAGGTACACGTTGTAAACCCACATCGAAAACTTTCAAAATGTGGTACTCTTCACTAGGAAATACAAATTCCTATCCTTCGGAATGGATTGATAGAATGCTGCAGAATTATCAACTTGGTGGAGTGACATTAAATCTTCTCTGATGAAGCTAAATATCTTGGCACTGTCCTAGACCGAGTCAATCATCTACTGTGCCGAATAGGAAATGTGACAATATCAGACAGGAGGGTGCCTCTTTCAACCCTGTCAAATTGGGCTTGCACCAATTGAACTGGCACTCTAGGAAACAAAATTCAGTTTCCGTCTGCAAGAACTCTCTCATAGGCAAGAGTTGGGGATTGAGACCCGGATGGCATTATACACTGAGTTTGTATAATCTGGGAATTATGTCTTACCGATTGTCTTACCCATACTTACCTATGGATGTCTTGTCTGGTGGCAGGGGGTGAATAAAAAGAAGCTGCTGACAAAACTGAGCTTAGTACAGCGATCGGCTTCAATTCTGATCACTGGAGCATTAAGAAGCACACCACAAGCAGCCTTGAACGCAATCTTGAATCTCCAACCATTGGACATTCTGATCAAATTCCAGGCTGCTAGGTGTGCCCTGAGACTCCGGGAAACAGATGCCTTGAAATCGCGGAACTATGGTCATGCCAGCATTCTAAACATAACGCCAAGTTATGACCTTTTTAGGGGGGATAGTCATATCAGTGATTATATTCCCCCCACAGGGATTTTAATGACATTAAAGTCGAATTTCCTAACAGGGAATCCTGGACTAGTGGCTCCCTACCTCTGCCAGGTCTGTCAATCTTCACAGACGGGTCCAAGATGGAAGAAGGCACTGGCGCAGGCGTCTACTGCAGGGAATTAGGTATACGAAACTCATATAAACTCAACAATGATTGTAGCGTTTTTCAAGCAGAGATTCTTGCAATCACGAAAGCGGCCGAGATAGTAAAAGCACTTAATACAGACTTTACAGGACCGGTGACTATTTACGTAGATAGTCAGGCGGCCCTGAAAGCGGTGAAGTCGCATACTATAAACTCGAAAGCAGTTCATGATTGTAAGACCGCTCTGAATGATATACGTCAAATAGTTGGGTTATGCTGGGTTCCAGGACATAACGATATTGAAGGGAATGAGATAGCCGACGAGCTTGCTCGAGGGGGGTCACAGTCGTCCAGTCTTCTGATTGAGAGATCTGTGAAACCCCCTATTAGCTATTTCATTGGCAGAATCCGTGCGTTCTATTGCGAGGTAGTCGGCAACAGATGGCTAAGGGAACCTGCATGCAGAATCTCTAAATCTATCTGGCCAGAATTCTCTCATAAAAGAACGTCTTCGCTGCTGGATCACAACAAGAGGGAGATTAAGATCGTTGTG